AGGCTCTGTCTCAAAAAAAGAAAAAAAGAAAAGAAAAGACAAGACAAGACAAAACACTTCCAAGGATTTGGATGCTTTGGGTCCTTTTTGGGACATAGCAAACAGAGAGAGGAGAATAGAGTCTGTCTGATGCTATCAGGGACATGGAGGCATCGTGTCTGGACTGCACTTTTCATGAGCCCTGGGCTCTGGGCTGGGATCTGAGGGTACCGATCCTGACCCCTGCCCCAGCCCAGGCAGACTGCTCCTGCAGTGGAGGGAGGACATCTGATGGCCCTTGGTCATCCTTAGGGTCTCTGCCCTCATCCCTATAAGAGGATATCAGCACCCCCAGCCCCCACCCTGAGGGGTGTCAGGCACGGCTCAGGACAGCCTAAGGCCAGGCCAGCTGAACTCTGAAGAGCAGACACAGCTGCAGGGGAGGTGACAGGGGCAGGCAGGAGCTTGGCAGCTCCCTTCTGGAAGGTTTGGCCACTGACCAGGTACTGGGAGGCTGAGCTATCCCCCAGGAACAAGTATCACCCTAGCTCACACCTGAGGATGACAGGGACCAGAGACCCAGTGATAAGGATTGGTGCGACCTGGCCCACAACTAAAACGTGTCCCTGAGGCAGCTCCAAAGTGGGGGTCATTCAGATGGCCCCATAGCAAGCCCTCACTGATATGGTTCCTGACTCTCCTGGCCATCATTTTGGTGCCCTTGCTCACCCTGTCATCATGATCTTCCGGGCACAACTCCTATCCTTCCTGGCAGTGTCTCCTCTGTGGCCAAAGGCTCCAGCCTTCTGCAGCAGCCTACCCAGCTCGGTGGGGGCAGGGTGACAACCTCTTCTTCGCAGATGGGTAGAATTCTCTGGGGGTGCCCCGCTACAGGAAGCCATATAGTGGGGTATCTTGGTGTGGGCTTGTTTTGCCATGGGGTAGCCCTGTGGGGCAGTCACTAGGACAGTACAGGCATTTGTTATAAAATTCACCCTGACAGCGAGCACACTAGGTTCTCCAGCTTTCTTTGAAATACCTTCAAAAGGCTGGGCGCCCGTAACTCACTGGTTAAGGTGCCAGCCACGTGCTCCGGATTTATCGATCCCGTCTGGGCCAGCTAAACAAACAAACAAACAAACAAAAATAGCCAGGCGTTGTGGCGTTGTGGCGGGAGCCTGTAGTCCCAGCTACTCAGAAGCCTGAGGCAAGAGAATCGCTTGAGCCCAACAGTTTGAGGTTGCTGTGAGCTATGACGCCATGGCATTCTATCGAGCATGACAAAGTAAGACTCTATCTCAATTAAAAAAAAGAAAGAAAGAAAGAAAGAAAACGAAAAGAAATACCTTCAAAATGAGATAGATCGATGGGCACACAGGGGAACCGGCATGTGATAATGCAGGATGAGTGAGATACTATGATACAACCATGTGGTGGGTATTTGGGTATTCACTTTAGAATTCGTCCAACTTTTCCTGTTTGAAAATGTCTGTAGTAAAATGTTGGGGCCAGTATAGGAAGCCAGAGGGCTAGCCCTCAGGGGGGCCTCTCAGCCTTGAAAAGTGTTGTTTTCCTTTAGTGTTGTTGTTTCTTACCCTTTGTTCAACCTCTACACTCAAAGACAGCAAAACACTCCTGTCATCAGTAGAGGTCCCTATGGCAATGAGTTTGGGGATAAGGGATATGTGTATTTTGAGAAATCCCAAGTAGCTCTAAGATCCCCCTATAGAACTGGGAGAGAAGGCTGGACTTTGCAAGCCACACATTGTAGCTTCCTGACAATTCAGGCATTTTTCTCACCTCATCTCAGAAAATTCAGGGGCTGGAGGAGAGGTGCCCTGAGCTCAAGGTATTCAGCACTTAAGAGGGTACCACAGCCCCTAGGCTGAAACATTAGGTTGATGGCAATTGGAGAGGGCTCTCCTGACTTGCTGTTGGTCACCCACGTATTACAGGGCACTATTGCTGTGACTGGTAGTACAGTCACACAGAAACAATTTAGTTCCTGCCGCCCCTCCCCCAATAGAGCCCATCTGGGAATAACCTGGAGACTGGTGACTATAGGGTATCCTGGTTTGAAAGGGGGTTTCCCTCTGAGGGGCTTGGCAGAAGGCTTCTGTCCATGTCTGTAAGTCCAGGACCTGGCCACGGGCCCACCCAGGCTTGGCACCTGGGGCAAGGGACTGTCCCCAGGTCCTTTCTAGGCTCCTTCTAGGATAGCTCTCAGGCCTTGGCCAAAATCTGGCTTCTGCCAGCATTAGAAGCTGGCCTGGTCCCTGGGTCATAGCCAGAATGATGACTGGGATGTGCCCAGAGAAGCCAGAAGCACTGGCTTCTCTGGGCACATCCATGTTGGAGCAGTAAAGCCAAGGGACACTCTCCAGCCACAGTGTGTGGGGCTGCTCCACAGCCTCCTCTTTCCTGTGATGTCCGTGGGGGTGGAGCCTGGGAGCCTGCATAGCATTCCTCGTGATGTCATGGGTGGGGGCTCCACCATGATGTGGTGAGGTCAGGTCATAAGATAGCTCTAGGTTTATCAGCCGGGCTAGGCATTCCATGCAATGTCAGAGAGGGTAGCGTAGGAATCTCCACAACACTCCAAGAGGCATCTCTAGAGGTGGGGCTGCTAATGTCACTAGTGGAGGCCATCAAGCCATTTTAAGATGATGTCACTAGGCCCTTTGGAATTTTGCATCTCATATGATATCACTGTGGGCAGGGCTATTACTGGAAGCCAGGCATGCAGAATTTGGCGTGAATGATAGCAATGGGAGTTGCTTCCTAAATAATGTCCCAGGGGTGTGACCTTCCTGAGATTTCATAGGAAGTTCCCAGGGTGGCGTCTCAATGGAATTCTGTATAATCACTGTGGAAATGGGGACTTCAGACTCCAACATCTGTGATGTCAACAGGGTGCAAGATTTGGAAGCTGGCCCCCATATCTGCACTTTCTCTTTTGGAGGTATGAAGCTGGCTACTCAGTCCTAAGCACTGCCCCACTTCCCAGCTGACTTTGCTCATCCAGGCAGGGTTGTCAGCTCCCTCAGGCCTCTGTACACCTGCCATGGTAGCATGAATCACCTGGCACTAGGGTGCTTTTGGGTGGGTGCATTTTTCCTGCCCACTGGCCTACAATTAGCAGAGTCTTAGCTTCTGTGTCTCCTTTACCTCCATGGGTTTGCAGGGTCTTAGCTCCTGTGTCTTCTTTACCTCCATGGGTCTGCAGGGTCTTACCTCCTGTGTCTCCTTTACCTCCATGGGTCTGCAGGGTCTTACCTCCTGTGTCTCCCTTACCTCCATGGGTTTGCAGGGTTTTAGCTCCTGTGTCTCCCTTACCTCCAAGGGTTTGCAGGGTGTAGGTGTTATAGTAGGATAACCAGTGTTACAAATAGTCCCCAAATCTTCATGACTAAACACAATGAAAAGTTCTTATTCATGCAATGTCCAAAACAATTCTTTCTTTTGCACTTTCTTGGCCAGGGCCAGGTTTGAACCCTCCACCTCCAGTATATGGGGCCGCACCCTATTCCTTTAAGCCACAGGCACCACAAAAACAGTTCTTCTTAATTACTCTCCTCTAAGCTGTGACTCAGGATCCAGGTCCCTTCCAGTTAGCAGCTTAGCTATCTTCCTTTTCCTGATCTGCATCCAGTCAGCCAACAAGCAGAGAGCGCAGGATCACAGCGAGAATTGCTAGGGGCAGACCTGGAAGTGGCATGCATTGCTCCCACCCTCATTCCACAGAGCTAGTCCCACAGCTGCAGTCAGATACAAAGTGCCAGGAAATGTGGTTGCCATGTACCAGGAAGAGGAACCAGGTTTGGTGAGCAGCTGATACTGGCCATAGTGAATGAAGGACAAAATGATGGCCTCTTTGGATGCTTGCCTGTGACTCTTCCCTAAGGACTGTTTGGTCCTCAGGACCACCTCCTTATACTTACTCCACCTCTGCTGTCCAATCAGATCACTCCAGGCAGCAAAGCGGCTGAGTCCCAGATGAGCCAGGGTGACCTCGTGATGGCCATTGACGGCGTCAACACAGACACCATGACCCACCTGGAGGCTCAGAACAAGATCAAGTCTGCCAGCTACAACCTGAGCCTCACCCTGCAGAAGTAGGTGGGAGCTCTCCAGAGCAGGGGGTGGGGGCTCGGGGGTGGGTTTTAGGGGGCCAAAGGACAGGTTGTCTCATAGTAGTTGCGTGGGCTTACCCCTGTGCTATAGAACTCTGCAGAAAGGTAAGGACAGTCCTGGATCAGAGGCAGGACCAGGCCCAAGTCATTGTCAAGCACCTAGAAGCAGATGTTCCAGCCTCACTGTACAGATGAGCCTCAAATGAAGCTCAGGGAGGGTGAGTGGTGCTGCCAGCATGTTAGGTCTAGAAGCCAGGGTCCTCTTGCTTTCCCTTTGCCCAGGCAGCCTCTGAGGGACATAGCAGGACCCTTAGGTGACAACCAAAGTGCCCAAGAGCCATGATTTCTCCATCCTGGTCAGGCCCAGGATCTGCTTGGGAGACACAGCCCATGTCCTCTGTCTTTTCTTGACAGCAAGCTCAGGCAGGAGTTCCTGACCTTGGGGAGACTTCCTCACTCAGTCCTGTTTTTGGTTTCTCTAGGTCAAAGCGTCCCATTTCCATCTCCACATCTGCACCCCCGGTCCATTCCCCACTGCCAGTGATCCCTCACCAAAAGGTAGGTGCTGACTGTCAGGGACAGGGGTCCACTCTGAGCAGTGGTTCCTGGACTGCAGCCCCTGACCTGCATGCCTGATCTTTGGCTAGCCCAACTGGGATGCCACAAAGAAATCAGAACTGCCCTATCCCTGCTCCTGTTCTGGCTGATTCTAGGGAAGTGGCACAAGCCCTCAGGAGAGGTGTTCAAGCCACCCATGAAACCCTGAATGTGGCAGTTCTTGCCTGGGTGCTGGGCTAATAGGAAGCCAGCTTGGACAGCACTATTCTCAAAAGGGTTGTCCTCCTGGCCAGGCAGGAGTTAAGCTCCCAGAAGGCTTCAGACCTTCAACTCCCCACCACAGGATGGAGGGGATCCCATAGTCATTTCTCAAGGCTTGGAGCCAGCAAGCTTGGCTTGGCTTCTGTTCAGAGCTTTGCATTCTGCCCAGCTAAATGCCAGCCCCCGGGCCAATAGCTATGAGCTTCTCCTACTCCTCCAACAGCACCCTTCCCCTCCAGGTGCTCCATCCAGTGCCTCTGGGGACAAGGAGTGGCTAAACATTTATACTAACACATCTGTTTCAGATCCATGGGGAAGCATTGTGGCGGGTGAGGCCTCTAACTACTCTCTTCTCTCTCCCCTGCATGGCGCTGCTCTGTGCCAGGACCCTGCTCTGGACATGAACGGCAGCCTGGTGGCATCCAGCCCCAGCCCCGAGGAAAGGGCCTGCCCAGGCACCCCAAGCACCCCGGAGCTCAGATCCACCTTTAGCCCTGCCTTCTCCCAGCCCTGCGCCTTCTCCTCACATACAGAGGCTTCTGACCCCGGCCCTCCACGGGCCACCCTGGGGGCCAAGACCAGCCTGGAGGGGGCCCAGGACCCACTGGGCCCCAAAGTCCTACGGGGCTCAAGCCAGGCGAGGCAATATAACAACCCCATTGGCCTGTACTCGGCAGAGACCCTCAGGGAGATGGCTCAGATGTACCAGATGAGCCTCCGAGGGAAGGCCTTGGGTGCCGGACTTCTAGGAGGGTAGGTAACAGGCGCTCAGCTCTCCACTGGTGGTCTAGGGCCACCTGGGTCCTCGGTGCTCAGCAGTGACCTGGTCAGGTGGTCAGAATGGGGAGCTGGTTCCAATCCAGCAAGGCCCAGGTCCAGGCCCAAGAGGTGGCACAGGCTCAGAGCAACGAGAGCAGTGATCCTACCAGTGTTTGCCTTGAACTGAGCAGACCATTGCTTCACGTGAGCACCCTGGGGTGACGTGTGGGATTTTGCAGAGGAGGAAACTGAGGCTCAGAGAAGGTTAAGTCATGGGCCAGTTGTCTGATTGCTAAGTGGCCAAGCTAGGCCTGAGTGCAGGGGACTCTGGCTTCCAAAATTTTCACACTAGGCCACCCCCTTCAGGAGCTGTGGGGCAAGGAGACAGGCTGGAAGGGCAATTTCTCTCTTGGACTGGGAGTAGTCTGGGAAGGCTGCCTAGAGGAGGCAGTGCCTGCACTGTGTCTGGACAGACTAAGCAATGGTGTGTAAGGGGTGGGCTTGTAGGACTGACCCTGGCCAGAATGTGGCAACAGAAAAGCAGGGACCTGAGGAGAAAGGGACTGTGGAGGATAGCAACTGCGCCCCTTGCAGTCTATCTGCTGGGACTATTCTGTCAGGTAGCGTCATTGCAGGCGTCACCCAGCTAGTACATAGAAGAGCCAAAGGAGGGACCTGGTCATTCTGAGCCAAGTCCATGCCTTTCCCTTTACCCTTCAGAGGCTCGTGTTCCCCACCCGGTCACTGCTCCCTAGAGATCTCCTGCTTCACCAGCTCCTCCGCTCTTTCTGGGCCCCTGATGAGAGCAGACCTCTGGCACCCCAAGGCATCGCTGATCCAAAGTGGCAGAGCCATGTATATCCTGCCCTCTAGGGTTCCCTAGCTTTTGCCAGAAACTTAGGGAATGGTGGGACGAAGATGGCCTATCTCTGTTGGGCTGTAGGTGCTGGACTCCTAGGAGGGTAGGTAACAGGCACCCAGCTCTCCACTGGTGGTCTAGGGTCACCTGGGTCCTCGGTGCTCAGTAGAGGCCTGGTCAGGTGGTCAGAGTGAGGACCTGGTCCCAATTCAGCAAGGCCCAGACTTGGAAGGTCTTCCTGGTCCTTTCTGGGACTGGCCCCAGGTAGGGATGTTAACCTCTGATGGCGTGGCCATCCAGGAGGCCCACCTGCAGTCTGGGCTGGGGGCCAGCTAACAGTGCACGTGCTTTAATTCTCAGCAACTCCAAAAGTGGCCCTTATTTCCCCTATCTTTCAGCTGGAAAGCCAAAGCTCAGAGAGGGTGAATGATTTACCCAAGATCACACAGCTAGTGGCCAACTAGACTAGCACACAGACCTGCCTGACTCCACCCTGCATTGAGACAGAGACCTTATCTACCTGCAGGAAGTCAGGGGCTAGCCCTACTCCTACTTCCCATGCCTCCTGCAGTGCGCTCCCCGTGGCGCCCAGGCAGCCCAGAACCTGACGACTGTATAAATTATTATCTGACAGAACAGCAGAGTCCAACAGTTTTATCCAAGGGGCAATCGGAGGGAGTGCTGTGGATATTTCTTCTCAAGTAAAGGCTGATGTTGCTGTCCTTAGGGCAGTGCTGGCAGGAGGGGCTGGGAGCCTCTAACCCGGGCTAGCCCAGGGCAGCCTCTGCTGGGCCAAGGCCACCAGGCCACCACCTTTGCTAAGTATCTAACTACTCGCAGGCCACAGGCTCAGCAAATCTAATCCCCACATCTATTTGTTGAATTTTTATCCTGTGCTGAGGGCTTTAGCCTCAGGATCCTATTTATCTGCACAGTCCACCTGTGCCGTGAGCACTACCACCTCAATTTAATGAATGAATTGGAAACTGAGGCTAAGACAGGTGGGGAAGTTGTCCAGCACTGTGGAGCTAGGAAGATACAGGTCAGGATTTGAACTCTAAAAGGAAGCCCCTTCCCCTCCTCTGTCCCCTGGGCAGCTTACAGGGCAATTCTTTGGCAGATTATATCCTGGGAGGGTTGGAGAGGGACAGATACGATACAATGACCTGGGCAACCCTGCAACCCCCTTTTTCTCCCCTCTGGGGCTGGCATTATGGCGTGGGATCCCTCAGGTCACTCAGTGCAAGGGCCACTGGGCAGGTCTCACATCTTGGGCTCATCTTCCTCAAGACCTGGGCACTGGTTCCTCTCTGAGATGTGTCTACTGCCATCATCCCTGCCCCAGGTCTCAGGGTGGAGGGAGGAGGCTGAGCTGGGGGCAGGAATCAAAGCCAAAGGAGCCGGCAGCCCCCTCCCTACCAGGCCAACACTGCCCTCTGCAGGGGGCACTGGGCTGGGCTGGACAAGATCTGACCCTGCAGCTGTCAGCACTGGCCAAAAATGGAGAAAGAATGATGTTCCATGCTGGCCCTGTCCTAATATAGCTCCACTTGCAGCTATTTTGAGCCTGGGAGCACAGAGGGAATTTTATCAGCTCTGAGACAGTGGCAGGTCTGGGGCCAAGCAGGGCCACCGTGCAGGTCTCTGGAGCCAGGGATCCCTGACTTTACCTCAGCTCCCTGGGGTTCAGGGTGAGGGATAACCAGGCCCGGGATAGCTGGGGCCCAGGCTCCCTGACCCTAAGCTCATGATAGGCAGATCCCAGGAAGGTGGCAGGGTTTGGGGATAGAGCACACCACCTTCCACAAAGAAACATGGCACAGACAAGGCTTCCCCCAAGGAGACTGTTCCAAGAAGCTTGATCTCAGACGAGAATGAGAGGCAGAGTCTCTCTGTGGTGTCCAAGCTGGGCTGCCTCTGCTAACTCACACTTCTCCCTGGGCCTCTTCTCTCCTGCTTCCTGCCCCACTGCCAGTCCACAGGCCTTTAGGAGCAGTCCCTGGGGATTGCACCACTGCCTACCCTTGTGCCCCAGGATGAGCGGCCAAGGCTGCCTGCCATGTACCCCAACACCACTGCAATGCCTGCTCCTGAAGCAGAACTCCAGAGCTGCTCTCATGAAACAAGGATAAGTCCAGAGCTGGGAGGCACCTGGGTCCCAGCCCTCTCCATAATAGTCACGGCTGGTCCTGTCCCCATCCCCAGCTTCCTCTCTGGGGCCTGTAACTGCCTGGCTGTGAAGGATTCATGTATGCGGTGTGAATGCCTATGAAGATGGACAAGAACACTCTTTTCTCTGGCAAAGCTCTGGACCTAGGGGCCGCCAAGGGAAAAATGATGCTGTGTCAGATGGAGAATTCCAACTTTGAGCTTGGTCCCCTACTCACTCCTGACTTCCTAGCCGGTGCTACGTTTCTGCCTCCATAATGACAGTCTGAGCGCTCAGCCTACCCCTAGCAGGAGCCTCCCTCTGATCACCCTGTCTTCTTTGTTCTTTCTCTCCTCCCCAGGTGGTAGCCAACTCTCCGGCCAAGTTAGTACCAAAGGATAGCATGTGTGTGCGCTTGCGTGCCAATGTCAGCATGCATCTGCGTGTCTGGGGTGGACAGCGTGTACTGTCGGCATGTGTGTGCCTGTGTGCATGTGTGAGTGGGGGTGCATTTGTGCCCCTGGGTGAGCCTGCATGTGTGTGAAGCTGGAGTGTGGAACAGAGGCATTTGCGGGTGGAAGCGGGGGCCAAAGTGGATGATTTTGTTCCCCAATCCTGCTGTTGCTGCTTTAAGGCTCACAGGCTACGCGATGGGAGACGGGGAGGCGGTGCTGCCACTGGGCCTATATGAGCCTGAAGACCTTTCTGTCCTGGCAAGACCCCTCAGAAGGGCTGCACCTGGCCAGGCGCAGTGGTTCATGTCTATAATCCTAGCACTCTGAGAGGCCAAGGTGAATAGATTGCGGGAGCTCAGGAGTTCGAGACCCTGTCTCTCCTAAAAATATAAAAACCAGCTGGGTGTTGTGGCAGGTACCTGCAGTCCCAGCTGACACTCAGGAGGCTGAGACAAGATGATCGCTTGAGCCCAGGAGTTTGAGGTTGCTGTGAGCTATGACTCCATGGCACTCTACTGAGGGTGACAAAGTGAGACTCCATCTCAAAAAAAAAATCTTGTCTTGCCTGGGAGCACACCCCCCTAGGGAGGAAGAGCCTCCTGTGAGTAAAGTCTGGCAGGCCACACAGTGTGCTGAACTTGGGGGCCCTGGGCAGCCTCAGTCCCGCTTGGAGGAAGAAGCACGTGCACTGAAGCATCTGGAAGAGCAGAGCCCCAGTCCACCGAGGGGGTCGGCTGCAGGAAGGGCCCTTCTTGGAGGAACCTCGCTCAGAAGCTCTGCGGGTGCCCAGTGAGACAGCTTCTTGCCTTCCCAGCATTTTGGACTCAGCTTGGGCTGCCACTGCCTCTCACACTTGGCTCAGTGCCTGTCCTGATCCCCAATTCCCGGGCTTCCCCTGCTGTGTGTGGGGAGAGATCTCTCTATGCCTTCTCCCTCCTCCCCTGTGCACACCCTGGGAAGCAGCTCAGGCTGAGCCAGGCCCTGCAGGGGACCTGGGAAAGCCCAGCTGGGCCAGGAAAGCCTCCCACACTGGAATATGGGGAGGATGATGAGTGCTGAGGGTTTTCCTGACCAGACCAGCCCACCCTGAGTCAGCAGGGGTGCCTCAGGTAGCCTGTGTGGGATCAGGGCCATGGCTTTGGGAGATCTCTCTCAAAATCCACCACCAGCAGCCCTTGCCTTGACCATCCATGTAACCACCACCTGTTACCCTTTTCTCCTCCCCTTCTTTGCCCATCCTCACGTGCCCCTCCCCAGCGCCGACTACCAGGAACGCTTCAACCCCAGCGCCCTGAAGGACTCGGCCCTGTCCACCCACAAGCCCATTGAGGTGAAGGGGCTGGGTGGCAAGGCCACCATCATCCATGCACAGTACAACACACCCATCAGCATGTACTCTCAGGATGCCATCATGGACGCCATCGCTGGGCAGGCCCAGGCCCAGGGCAGTGACTTCAGTGGGTAAGCGCCTCCCCATTTGCACCATGCTGAGCGCCACTGCCACACACCGGGGCTCATCATCTGCAGAACCCAGGTGACCAGGCCATCAGGACCAGCTTTCTTCCCTCACCTTGGGTCTCCTAGGGAAGCTTGGATGGGAGCCAGCCTTTGTCAGGGCCTTCTAGAACATGACTGTCCTCTCTTCAGAAACTATCATATGGTCAGCTTAAGGAGAAGGGTGGAAAAACACAGAATACGGTGGTGCTTTTCACAGCTTCTGCGCTTTCCCAGGCTCTGTGTTGGGGCTGGTTTAGGAAGAGATTTCAGCAATTCTCTTAACCAGGATCACATTCTGGAGGCCCCCAGCTTCTCATGACTAAGCCCTTCTTTGGGAAAGGGTGGGGGTTGCCATGTTTTTCCTGCATTGACAGTCGATTCAAACATGTGGCTGGGTTTCTGGTTTGGGAAGGGGCCTGGGACTAATCACCACAGGTGCTATTGGCAGTTAATCCCACCCATGGGCACCTCTCTTCTCTTGATCCCAGGACGCCTGGCCTTAGGGCAGTGGGATTTAAGACATCCTTGGTTCCTGGAATTTGTCCTTTAGCCATGGTTGGGGAATTGAAAGGTTGAGTAGGATAAGAGAAAGCTAAAAATCATTTGTGGATGAAAAATTCTAATAGTGCAAACATTAATAGGACCTCTCTCTGTCTCTGCCTTCCTCCATGTCTCTCTCCCTCCGTCTCTGTTTTCCTTGTCTGTCTCTCTTCCTATCTCTCTCTCTCAGCTGTTGTCTCTCTTACACACACACATACAATCTCTTGCTGTTTTCTACTGGGAAAGCATTGACTTGCGGAACTGGCATCCCTTTGGGCATTACCTTATCCCTGTGTCAGGATTCCCAACAGTCAAGGCGAAAAGTCTTAAAATAACCGCTATACTTTTTTTCTGAAGCTGGGAGGACAGATGTTGTAAGAGGAATAGAGGATTAAAACGTCACTGATAATCCCTATACTGCTTGGCCATTCCAGAGCCAGGCATTATGCTCATCATGCTGCACACAAGTTCTAAAGGGCAGGCTCCAGAGGCCAAAGGATAAAAGATGGGCGTGGGCTTCATAGGCGTTCTGTCCTGGGGTGCCTGGTGCCCTGTTGGTGTCGCAGTACTACCTCACGGCCACCAGGGGGCAGAGGTCACCTGTCCTGGAGCCCCACGTCTCAAACCCCTCAGGCTTTTTTGCATAACTCTGGGCGCTGTTGATTTATTTAATTCCATCATTCAAAGCAGAAAAAATGACCGCGCAGTACAAGTTAAAAAACTCAGCCATCAGCTCGTGTGTACCCAGAAAAACAAGGGTGCCTGACTAAGCCCAAGAGCTAACGGAGATTTCCTGTTGACATTTCTTTGCCACGTGTGTCCTTGGTGTGCTCTTAAAAGTGGTTGCAGTCGCCAAAGGGAAGTTCAGAGGGAAATAATGGAAGAATCACTCTTCACTAACTCTATTTGCTGCACCCTGAGAAGACCGCAATCATTTGGTTTTACCATTTAATTTTTGGAACATGGCGTACTATTGGTTAATCTAGGCTTCTCATAAGGCCTTTCCCATCTCTCCTCCCCCCCCTCTCTTTACCCTTCCCTTGCGTGCCAGGAAAGGGTCGCCCTTTCCCCTTCCTTTTAATGCAGCCACGCTGGACCACCGCCGTGGTGCCAGTGGGTAACGTTCTTGGCCATAACGCGCTCCCGATTCTGCTGTTAATTTCCTTGGTTCCTTCCTCACTGACAGTTTTCTTTTTCTCTTTCTCTTCTTCCTTCACCCACCCCACTCCCGTAACTCATTTCTGATCCTAACCCTGCTCTCTTGTGTGCGCCACCCTCTGCCATCCCATGATGGACGCGCACTCACGGCTGGGTTTCCCTCTGCTTGGCAGGGCGTCACCGCTGGCGTAAGTAGACCGCGCAGTGTGTGTCCCGTCGTCCGTCCTCTGTCTAGTTGCGGGATGGTGCGTGGGTTTGGTGGGATGTGTCTGAGGATCCGTGGTCAGCCCACGTGCTCTGTCCACGTTCTTCCTCACACCCACTTCACAGCCAAACGACACCCCCTGCAGCCTGTACAGGCAAGTACTTGTCACTGTGGCCGCAGAGATGGCAGAGTAACAACACTCACACTGTCCTCCCCCAGGCTGGGGGTGCATCCCTGTGTTCTCCCTGCCATGCTTCAGAGTGGGTCTCTCTAGCCTTTCCAATCTGCACAGGGACAGCATAGACCCAAATGTCAGAGTCCAAAATCCTCACAGGAGGTGGACCTGTAGGAGCTGGTGCCTACCATGGCCACCCACCAGAGGTGAAAGATGAGTCAGATTTGGGGGCAATGCATAGTGGAGTGAATGCCAGGGTGACCTTGATGTTGCAGCGACCCTGGAGTGCTTTCTGTGGTAAGAACAAGCCAGGAGCAGGTCCAGAAAGTGGCCTCAAACCCGGGCCCCCCTGGACTTTAGAACCCATTTCATCCTTTCCTCACATGTTCTCCCTAAGCCTTGGTGACTTGAAAGGACAGTCCTCACTGACTCCCAGTCTCTGCTGCACCAGCAACACAAGTCCTTGGTCTTTGCAATTTGTGGGAAATGATGCCAGCAATGTTGACTCCTAAGAGACTCAGTCCTGGCAACTTTCTTGAGCCCTTAGAGCTGAGAAAAGCACAAGCAAGCTCCTCCTGGACATGTCCCAGGGAAATGGTCTGCTCTCTAGATTCCAAAGCTTGAAGTAGACAGGCTCAACGGTTGGGACCTTTGAGGGTTTGGGAACCACACTTTTCCTTCACATGGCATAATCTATGCTCCTCTTCCCTCTCCTCCTGGTGGGCCAGGATCCAAGACCAGGGAGCTCAAGTTGTGCCTTCCTTTTCCATCTCACCTAAAGACCTCAGGAGCCCTTGGGACTACTCCCTATACCAAAAAGGCCTCCCCTAGCAAGAGTGGGTTTCCTTCCTCTCCTTTGCTCCTCCCTGGCTGGACCCCAGAGGAATGTGCTGTTCTTCCCCATCTGATCCCAGTCACAGGCTGCCAGTACATGTAGCTCTCTAGACCAGGGTGGAGACTTTGGGGACACAGGGGCAGCTCTACCCAACCTGGATCACCTTTCTCTACCTCTGTTCTTATAACCCACCCTGAGCCAGACACAGGATACCAGTCCTGGGAGATGAGGCCAGTTCTCTGTCTAGCTTCTCCTTAGAAAGATGGTAGAAGACATGGGCACTGGAAAGATGCCTCTCCCAGCCAGCTGGCCCTCTGGAGAGCAGGGGAGGCAGGCAGGAGGATGCTGGACAGGATGGATCTGGGCTGGGCCATGTCCCCAGGCACAGAGCATCTGGATCTTTATAGGGCCCCAGTGGGCAGAAGTGGCCTTCTTGAGGCTTTGCAACTGTGGAGAGCCTGATGGAAAAGACACTAGGTTAAAAGTTGGGAAGCCTGGATCTAGCTCACTGGGGCCCCTACCTGCCATAACCTGGACCTAGCTGGCTAGCCTCTCTGAACCTCAGTTTCAGTATGTCTGTTATTGCTGCAAGCTTTGCCCGAGCTGTCCCTAACCTTTGAGAGGGTGGGTAGGGCAGCCTCGATCCTCTGGTCCCCATGGCCAGGATTAGTGGATGCCTATGAAGCTTTTGACCATGGTGCCCTACTGTCTGATCGGGCTGGGAGGTACTGGACTCAAGGGGCTTTGGGGGCCCTCTGGCTCTGATCTGAAATTCACTCATTCAGCTGAGAGTTTTGAGCACCTATCGTGAAACAGACCCTGGGAGTCTAAGACAAGGTCAGCAGCCCCCCTCAAAGACCACACTGCCTTGGGGCAGAGGACCAGTGGCTATCTCTGTGGCTCCACTCTCTAATCCCCCAGGCCAGAAACCCCACTGTTCCTGTAGGCCACACTGCAGGCCGCATGGGCCTGGCTGCAGCGCCACTCACACTGCCTCCCAGCGGCGTCTGCCAGCTCGCAGCTGAGCCCAGCGCCCACCGACCTCATCCAGGGCAGTCATGGCATTGGTGACTACCTGTTCGCATCCACAGGTGTGACAGACCAGTGGATGGGCCCTGAGGAAGCCTCTGGGTCCCCCAAATGGCCTGTTCTCACCCATATCCACAGTCAGGGCATACTCAGAAAGGTCAAAATTACTTCAGGAAGACCTCTTCGGTTTCCTCCTTCCTTAAAGGGAATCTAGGAGTGGGGGTATCTTCAGGTCTGGGCCTAGAGTAGCTCTGGAGAGAGGCAGACTGGAGGAATTTGGGGCCCCAATCCTCTGGGGGTGAGAGGAATCACTGCCTCACCGGGACCATCCTGAGCACTGAGGACCCAGGCCTCAGCCATGTCTTGGGTTCTCAGATAGCAGCAGGTAAAGGCCAAGTGGGCACAGAACACTGGGGGCCACCAACAGCCACGGGTGGGCCACAGGAGCACAGTGGGGGAGGGCCGACTCCAGCCTCGCCCTCGCCCACAACCTCATCTGCATTGTAGGAGCCTTCCTGTCAAAGACCTCACCGTGGACAGTGCCTCTCCTGTGTACCAAGCTGTGATTAAGACCCAGAACAAGCCAGAAGATGAGGCTGACGAGTGGGCCCGTCGCTCCTCCAACCTGCAGTCTCGCTCCTTCCGCATTCTGGCCCAGATGACGGGGACGGAATTCAGTGAGTGAGGGCTGCTTGGGATGAGTACAGAGTAGGGAGGGGTGAGGGAGGCTTGCAGGGCCTGAGCTCAGCCTCTCAGTTTTGAAGCCCATGGAAGCTGAGGAGTCCAGCAGCTTTTGGGGGTTGTTAGTGGCTGACAGAGCTCCTTTGGGCCCTCAGGCAGGCGGGTGTCCAATGACAGCAGCCATCTGCTGCAATCCTGCCTATAACGTGGGCAGCAGGCTGGGGGTGCAACTCCCAGAAGAAATGACTTCCTGGAGCTAAGAGGACAAACCTCTGACCCATGCCAATACCCCACTGGCCCCAGCCTAGCTCATGGCCTCTCCTATCCACAACTGACAAGCTGGGGGCAGGAACTACTTAGACTTGGTTGCTCGGGCAGCTCTTCCCTATGCTCCCTGTCAGTGCCCTAACTAGCGCCTTTCTATCCACAGTGCAAGACCCGGATGAAGAAGCTCTGCGAAGATCAAGGTAAGTACCTGGACTCAAGCTCTGTGGCCTTGCCCTCTAGCCCCAAACCTCCCCAAACAGCCCCCAGGCCACAGGCCTCATCGAAGGAACCTCCCAAGTTAATGGACTTGCAAAGCCTGGCCTGAAAAGGGCCCCAGCAGATGCTGGCTTGAGGCAGCCATCCTGGGTCAGTGAGTCTCTGTGCCCCTGCCCCAGGCTGCAGGAGTGAAGACTCTGGGCTCTCCTGGCTCCCTCCCCGGGCAGGGGGCAGGGCTGCTTTGGCCTTTGCTGGGCTATTGAGAATGAAGGCATCTCACCCTGTGCAGGCATCAGGCTGGCCACCTTGCCTGCCCACTCATCTCAGGGCCTGTCCCCCTGTGAGTCTAAAGGCTGGGCACTGGGAAGCAGGCACACGGGAGGCCATGCTGGGCATGGACACCTGACCCCTGGACTCACCTGTCCAGACCTCCATTGAGGTACCAGTTCTGTAAATTGCTCAAAGCACAACAGCTTCTGAAAGGAAGGACAAGTCCTCGACATGAAGAGGGCTTATGCAGAACTGCGGGTGTCAAGGAGTGGTTTCCCCATCAGTGGCAGGTCTGAGGCCACAGCCACTAACCTACCATTGTAGCCCATCAGGTGCTCATAGGTCTGGGCATGCAGGAGGCATGCCCTGGAACCCACTGGAACCCACTTGGGCCTTCCATGGTGAGGCATGGGGCTCAGTGTGATTGTACATACACTTCTGATACCGAATGTCTGCATGCTCCTCCCAGCAGAGTGTGTCTTGGGCCAGTGCTTCCTGGGGCAGCCTCTGTGTGAGGGGCTGGGGCTCAGAGGTGCTCTCCCACCCTGGGTCAAGCTTTCTGTACTTGCTAACCAGCGCAGAGTGGCCACAGGACACCCAGAGAGTAAGACTCGGGCCAGCTTGGTCTTGACGTAGATCTTATTTTTGAACCTGTGTTTTTTGCCAATCCGAGTTGCTGGGCATCCAGGCCTAAAGTGTGATCCTCCCAGGCCTGCATGGAGTGGCATGCAGTCCCAGCAATGGTTCTTAACACTTCAGCGCCTGCAATGCATCTAAACATAGTCTGAGATGAGATGATGTTTGATTTATCTCAAAAGCTAAAATCTAGCTATTTTAAGTGAGACCGAGCTCTCAGCTGCCCCTCCTCCCATGCTGCGCTGCACCTACGCGCTGTTCCCCTATTTGTCCGTCGCTCCTCTTTGAAGCCACACATAGATCCTTCTGTGAGCAATGTAGACATGCCCAAAGATTTAACAGAGGGGTCTTTACATCACACACCCAGAGAGAAATGGCTTAAAAAACCCAGGTCCCTTCCACTAAGTGTTCAGGAAGGGGGGTTTCTCCTCTCTCCCACAAGACGAGAGGTTTGCTTTTCTGGACCCATCTTACCCCCTTCTGGTCGCTTCATGTTCCTCTTCCCTTTAGTGTGCAGAGTGGTCCCGCCAAGCACAGGCCCCATTACCCAGACGTCATTAGAAGGCATGGTGTAGGTAGATTACTGGAAAGTTACTGAGTGCGGAAACAGGAGGGGTCTCCAGCCCTCATCTTGGCCTTCCTCTTCCCTCCTTCCAGAAGCATCTCTTGAGGCTTGTTCTGCCTGATCTGATAGACATGTGAAGGGAGGGGAGGAAAGTCCTTTCTTGCAGGGCCTAACTCCATAGGAGCTTGGTTTGGCCCCTAACTCCACAGGAGCAAAAGGCAGCAGGTCTCAAGTACTCTGGTGCAACTTTCCTAGCCTCTCCCCGGCTATTATAGAGTTTCATTGTAGGAAAATCTGAAAAGGTGGCCCAAGAGAAGGCTCTGGCCTCCTTCCGCCCTCAGGCCCAAGTAGCTGCATCCACATCAGCCCCTCCCTCTGGGTTCTGAGGCTCTGGCCAGGGATGGAGAGGCTCCTTTTCCTTTTCCTGACTTTAATTTCTGGAGAGGTGTCCTCATGGCAGAGCCACCATGTCATGAATCCCCAAGCAAACAGTTCATGGACCTGGGGTGGGGGTGGGGTGTGCAGGGGGTATAGCAGTTCATTTCCGTTTGTGATTAAAGCCTGAAGGAAGGACTGTGGCCGGTGGCCATCTGAGCAGAAAGAAGCCCCTTTTCCCCACCCTGGTCAAGGCTGGGCAGGGCTCTTGCTCCTTGGGAGCCTGAGCCACACTTCTATCAGTCCCCAGTCCCAAGTTGGAAGTTGCACCGACATCCTGCTGACCCATCTATTGACTGAGGGCAGCCACTGCCTCGTTCTCCTTCTCCTCCTAAATTAGCATCACTCCCAGTGAAGGGTTTAAGGGTTTCTCATGAAGGTTGAGCTTCCCCAGGGAGGCTTCACCGCAACTCTTCCAAGTCTCTTACTCCCGCACAGCCTGAGCTTGCCAAGCCTGCGCACGGGGACAGCCTCAACTGTCTCACGCCCATGTGGAGGTGCAATCCCCTTCTTGTTGCTGTGCGGTGAGAAAGTTGTCAGGAACATCAAGTGAGTAGTGTCAGGTATTCTGTACCAGGCAGGGGACAGGTGACTTCAAGGACAGGTATGAATTTGCATGTCAAGCAGACCTTACAAACTCGCCCCTTACTTCTATCAGTGCCTTGCCTCCAAGGCCCACTCTGCAGAATCTCAGAGCTGCTCACAGCCCTCCTATCCTCCAGGGTCCTGGCTCCCAGTGGTGTCCTTGGTGTTTGGTAGCATGTAACTTCCTTCTGAGGCTCCAGTGCCCATCTGCTGGCCAGCCCAAGGCATAGTCTAATCTCCAGGAACCCTGTCTTTACATGTGGGGGGGGGACTTGAACAGCCCAGACATCCACCATGGACCAGGCTGCCCTCCCTAGAGACACCCTGCACCTTGGAAAACAGGGCTAGCTTGAATATCAGCTTCCTGTCTGCTTCCACAGGGGAGCTCCTCCAGTAGGTGATGCTGTGGTTCCCCGGGCGCCATCTCAGGTAGCCAAATTACTGCCTCCATCCCATGAACAGAGCCCTTAATCTCAGACGGGTCACCATCACTTCCCTCTGACTTTGAGAAGGCACTCCAGTACCCTGATGGCTCAGAAAGTCGGGCCCATGTTGCACAGCTGTGATACAGAGAGGGATGGGGCCAGCCCTGACTCAGTCCTAGGCAAAACTTGAATCTGCAAGGCATCTGGATCCCACTGCTTGGGTGTACTCATGCTGGAGGCCCCCAGTGTGTAACCCAGATGTGCACAACTGCCTACAAGCGTGCTCACCTGGCTAAAGAACTCTGCATGTCTCCTTCACCCCGAGTGTAGGAGAGTGATGTTAATTTTAGTGAAGAGTTCCTGGAGAGTTGAAGGTGAGGGCTGCATCACACCCCGCTTCCCAAACAATACAAAGATGTCCCACATCCCTTCTCTATCTGGCCGCAATGGGATGCTGAGGCTCACAGGCCCCTCCTCCCCTCAGCCTCCCTGGGGACATCTACACCCTCTTCCCTCCAGAATGAGTCATCTAGGGCTGCCCCCCTCTAGCCACAATACCTAGATGCTGGCTCCGCTCAGGGCCCTCCCTGAGATGGGATCTGGTAAAAAGGCAGTGACAAGGGTTACCTGCATTTTGTGGATTTTTAGCTCCTGGTGTTCAGACCCACTAGCAAGTTTTAAAACCACAACTAGAGAGCCCAAGACACCCCAGTGTCACCACCTGATCGGCCCTCACGGGGACCTTCTCGGGGTCTTCTTCCTTTCTCTAGCTCTCCTGTCTCTCCTTCCCTGTCTCTTGTGCCTTCCTCTCCTTGTTCCTTTCCTTAGCTAGCTAAGGATTTTTAAACAGCTACAAGCAGAGCAGTCTCATGAGACTTGTCAGCTGTTCCAGAACTGTCCCCGACCCCAAGCACTGATGACAAGCGGTCACCCAGCCACAACAGGCCTCACCAGGCTGAGGATTTACAGGCAAACCGGCATGTCCGGTCTTACACTGTGCCCTGGGTAGTCTCTGTGGGATGGTCAAAGCCCTGCTGAGGAGCGCGTCAGCAGGGTTGTGTGGACCCTGCCAGGGGGCCTTTGCTCATGCCGTCTCCACCCCTTCACTCCAGCCTCAGAAAAGCAGACATGTGGCCAGGTAAGACGGTGCCTAGCACTTAGACTGTGGTCCTGTTGCTGGGTTTCTGTGTAGCTTTAGGCCATTCATGTGATATTTCTGAGTCTCAGTTTCCTTCTGGCGTGAGGAAAGGTCGGATTAGATCAGTGGTTTTCAAATATGTTAGCAATGGGCCCCTTTTGTCAGTCTCTCACAGAGACATAATATGCAGGACTCAAGGAGTAGAGTGAGGGTCTGACTGGTAACGCGGGTGCAGGAGAGTGGACCTCTGTGAGTGTGGGGATGCAGGAACCAGTTCCTGATGACTGTGACTATGCAGAAATGTAAGACCAGCACTGCCACATCTTCTGATCCTCAAAGACCTAAAGTTGATCTTCCTGATTTTCATACGCTGGCAATTCTTTTTTTAATTAAATGTCTTATTTTGAGATAATTCCACAATCACATGCAGTTGTAAGAAATACAGAGAGGTCCTATGTGCCCTTTACCCAGTTCCCACAGTAGTAACATCCTGCAAAACTAAAACACAGTATCTCAACAAGGATGTGGATGTTGACACAACCAAGACACAATGCCTTCCACCGCCTCGGCATCCCCCCTGTTGCTGTTCTATGCCCTCCAGTGTTTACTCCCTCCTTAACCTCTGGCAATCACTAATTTGTTATCTGTTCTCCATTTCTATAATTTCATCCTTTTCAACAATGTTACATTAATGGAACCATGCAGCATGTAACCATTTTAGATTGGCTTTTTTCAATAAGCTAATTCCCTTGGGGATTCATCTAAATTGTTAAGTGTCTCAATAGTTTATCTGTTCCTTTTAATTGCTGAGTAGCATCCCATAGTATGGATATAGTCATTAATTTTCTTTTATTTTTGAGACAAGAGTATCTCACTCTGTTGCCCAGGCTAGAGCGCTGTGGCATCAACCTACTCACAGCAATCTCAAAC